TTTGATCTTGAAGGACGTCATGCATGTTCCTGAAATTAGGAAGAATCTTGTTTATGGTTTTCTTTTAAATAAGGCTGGGTTTAGTCAAACTATAGGGGCATGTTTGTACACCATCACTAAGAATGGTATTTTTGTTGGGAAAGGATACGCCACTGATGGCATGTTTATAAGTTGAATGTTGATTTGAATAAGATTTGTCCTTCTGTTTATTTTTTTGTGTGATCTTAATATTTGACATGCTAGACTTTGTCACGTTAATAAGCGAATTATGTATAACGCAAGCAACTTAGGTCTGATCCCTAAATTAAACGTCAATGATTCAAATAAATATGAATATTGTAGTCAAGCTAAAATAACTAAGACATCACATAAACCAATTATTAGAGAATCTGATCCCCTATATCTTATACACTCTGATATATGTGAATTAGATGGAACTTTAACTAGAAACAGTAAACATTATTTTATCACTTTTATTGATGATTGTTCTGATTATACTTATGTATACTTAATGAAGAATAAAAGTGAAACACTTGATATGTTTAAGTTATATGTAACTGAATTTGAGAATAAACTTAGTAAGAAGATTAAGAGACTTTGTAGTGATAGAAGAACTGAATATGACTCTGGTCTATTTAATGATTTTTATAAAGAACATGGAATTATACATGAAACAACTGCTCCATATTCTCCTGAAATGAATGGTAAAGCAGAAAGAAAGAATAAAACTCTTACTGAACTTGTTGTTGCAATTATGATGAATTCTGGTGTTGCACCTCACTACTGGGGGGAAATTTTGTTGACTGTTTGTTATGTCGCGAATAGAGTCCCCAAGTCAAAATGTAAGATCTCTCCTTATGAGATATTAAAGAAAAGACAACCAAACTTGTCTTATTTGAGAACTTGGGGATGTCTGACTTATGTCAGAATTCTGGATCTGAAACGAGTTAAACTCGCTAGTAGAGCATATGAGTGTGTTTTCACTACGTATGCAGCAAACAGTAAAGCATATAGGTTTTATGACCTAAAGGCAAAAGTGATCATAGAATCAAATGATGCTGAATTCTATGAAGACAAATTTCCTTTCAAATTGAGAAATAGTGGAGGCACACAATCGAGTCACATTCCTGTGATAAGAAGCACAAAAAGCAACGACAATATAGAAACAGAACTTCAACGAAGTAAACGAGTAAGAGTTACTAAAGACTATGGGCCTGATTATGCGACTTATAATGTAGAAGAAGATCCAATGAATCTTTAAGAAGCCTTGTCATCTCTGGATGCTGATTTATGGCAAGAAGCTATCAATGATGAGATAGAATCTCTAGAATCTAACAAGACCTGACACTCAGTAGACTTTCCTCCTGGTTATAAATCAATCGGTTGTAAATGGGTTTTGAAAAAAAAACTAAAACCTGATGGAACCATTGATAAATACAAGGCCCGTCTTGTTGCCAAGGGTTTTAGACAAAGAGAAAATATAGATTTCTTCGACACCTTTTCTCCTGTCACTAGAATTACATCCATTAGGATACTTATTTCAATAACTGCTATTTATAACTTAATAGTACACTAAATGGATGTTAAAACAACTTTTTTAAATAGTGACTTAGAATAAGAAATCTATATGGAACAACCGAAAGGGTTTGTGATCTATGGACAAGAAAACAAGGTCTGTAAGTTAGATAAGTCTTTATATGGACTAAAACAAGCTCCTAAGCAATGGCATGAAAAATTTGATAATTTATCGATATCAAATGCGTACAAAGTGAATGAAAGTGACAAATGTGTTTACTATAAATCTGAGAATCGCATATGCACTATCATATGTCTCTATGTAGACGATCTACTCATATTTGGATCAAACATTCAGACTATTAATGATGTGAAATCACAATTGTGCAATAACTTTGATATGAAAGACCTCGGAGAAGCAAGTGTGATCCTTGATATCAAGATCACGAGATCCAAACAAAGAATTTATTTGGATCAATCACACTATATGGAGAAGATCTTAAATAAATATAAATACTTTGACTGTAAACCTGCATGCACACCATATGATCCAAGTGTGAAACTGTTTAAGAACACTGGAGAAACTGTCAGACAATCAGAATATACAAGCATCATTGACAATCTTAGGTATGCCACTGATTGTACTAGACCTGACATTGCATATTTCGTAAGATTGTTATGCAGGCTTACGAGTAGATCGAGTAAACAGAAATGGAAAGTTATTGAACGAGTCATGAGGTACCTCAAAAGGAAAATGGATCCCGGCCTACATTATCAGAAGTTTCCTACTGTATTAGAAGGGTAAAATGATGCAGATTGGAATACTTTGTCAGATGATTCCAAAGTTATTAGTGGCTATATATTTAATATAGTTGGAGGAGCTGTATCTTGAAAATCAAAGAAAAAAACTCTCCTAGCTTAGTCCACGATGAAATCTGAGATGATAACACTAGCCACAACTAGTGAAGAAGCAAGTTGGTTGAGATGCTCACTAGCCGAGATCCCTTTATGGGAAAAACCTATGCCAGCTGTATTGATCCACTGCGACAGTACCGCGACTATTACAAAAATTGAGAATCGTTATTATAATGGTAAAAGACGTCAAATAAGAAGAAAACACAACACTGTTAGAGACTGTATATCTAAAGGAGTTGTAAGAGTGGATCATATACGCACTGATGAAAACTTAGTAGATCCTTTGACGAAAAGATTAGCAAGAGAGAAAGTCCATAATACATCCAAGAAGATAGGACTAATGCTTATAAAGCAATGAGTTGCTCATGATGGTAACCTGACCTAGATGATTGGAGATCCCAAGAAATGGGTTCAATGAGTAATAACAAGTTATGAGTAATATGAGATGATCATGCAAGTAAAGCATGAATCATGAAGTAATAAGAGGATGGGATAATAGAAGCTCTTAATGAGATCTATACTCTATATGAAGGAGTACCTAGGCTACATGAGTACTCTTGATAAACTCACCTTTGTGATTGTGAAACTTGGATCGGTTCCTATGGAATTGCGAGGCAAAATTCCTAGAGCCTTCACTAAACTGAGATACACGTGCAGGACCATTAAAGCACGGGCTATTAGAATACACCTTAAGAAAAGACTGTGTGTGAGTCTGATGTCTGAGATAGAGTTCAAGACAATAGTGTCACTCTTGTTGAATCAGAATCCTACTTGCTACGCAAAGGTTCAAGTCGTAGACACCTTTGTTTATGCACAATCTTAGAAACGTTTGACGTACTTCTAAAATCACCTTTTAAATTCAAGTGAGGGATTGTTGGAAATCTTGGTCTGATGTTAACTTGGAGTGGGAGTTGGAATGATTTATTGACATTAAATGAGCAATAAATGAGCATAAGTAAGAACTAGTATGGAAGTGAATTTAAAAGAATTCATTTTAGTCCCACATAGGAGAGAATACACATATTAGTAGTGTATATATATTCTAACTTGGCCAATTGGGTTGGGCCCCAAGGGGCACCCCAATTTTGTAAAGGAGTGAGGACACACCCATAAGCCATCTAGACACACACGCGCGTGCGCCGCCACCGTCCGGCCAACTCAGTTCGGTTCGGTTCGGTCTAGATAAATTCATTTTTGGAACCCGAATTAGTGAAAATTAATTATCATTAGTTAATTAATTCGATGGAAATTAAAAATAAGAAATTAATTAATTACGAAATGGTGACGTGTCCTGCACAAAAACCAAGTCTTAACCTATTTTTTGGCTGGTTATGTTTGCCCTCTAAGAGTCATACGTGTACGTGTGACTTGCTGACCAGGTGAAAAAACGACTACATTTGACTGAGCCGATTCCACTATCTCCCACGATTTTCTCCCACGATACTTGTTCCATTCAGTTAGATTCTCTGCCTATAAATAGAATTCTTCTGTTCATTTGTAAGTATTCCAGAATTTACAATTTGAATTCTCTCTTCTCTCTCTACTCTGTTTCATCTATAAAATTTTCTTTTCTGTTTTCGACTGGCTTAATAAGCGATCAACGACTGAAAAATTTCAGATACTATGACTGGTTTTATGCCATCTGAAGGTGTAATTCTTCGAACGGTTAATTACAGTGCAAGTAATAATCGTATTTCTGAACGAGCTGTTTTATCCTGGAGACGTCGTCGAAACTCGACTACTTTGCATAACTATTGGCAGTACGACAAAACGTCTTAAAGAAAACGACCTAGTACGTGACTCGTCTCGAAAATTTTCCTTTGTGGAATTTTTTCAAAAACCTGATACAACAATAATAATATAATATTATTAAATTTTAAATAATAATATTATATTATTAAAAAATCGATTTAACTAAAAATCAACGTAATTAATTAATTCTTTGTACATGAAATATGCTTTTCTTTGTACATGAAATCTGCTTTGCTCAAAGTGAAAGTAAGTTATGCAAATAATAATAAAATAATAACAAGCAGATGAGATTCTAAATCTAATCACAACCCCAATCGACTTCCGTTTGAAAACTACCTAATCGCAGCCACCGTACCTTTGCCCTTCAATCTTGTTAGCAGCCGCGCTGAACTCCATTCACCGGAAAACGCATCCGGATTTCGCCGTCGTAGGGAGGAACGCCACCACAAACAGTGAGAATTTCCGTCCACGTTTTCTTTTCCTTTTTACCTAAAAGTCATCGAATGCGATTCCGTCGCCGTTTGCGGCCGCGATAGCCGCCCTGTGAAAGAGCCTCACTCCGCATCAAGATTCATCCATTGAGCGCCATAGCGGTGCTATTGATGAAATAGCATTAGATAATTTAAAGATTCCATGCTCAAGTACCTTTTTGCATCGTCTTTTTAGTGCATCGTCTTTTTATTGCATGTTCTGTTATGAAATGAGATGAGACTGTGTAGCTTGGATTTCTTACTGGAAATTCTTTGTGCAGGTTAAGTATCTGATTGGTGATTCTATATTCTTTATAGGCAAGTTTTGGAGGATACGAAGAAGCTTCAATGGCCAAGAAACCTGCACCAGGATCCAGTAAATTATCTGTCTACCTGTACGTTCCTAATATCATTGGTGGGTATTTCATTGTAATGGTGGATATATTGTTTTATTCTCTCATATTTGCTTACCCGTTGTAGAAGTAGAAATGAGAGTCTTCTAATCCTTAGGGTCTTTTTGGATTGACTTATTTGAGTTTATCCACTTGCATAAGCACTTGTGAAACTGTTTGGGAAAACTTATGGATAACTTATGAAAATAACTTATGGATGACTTTATGAAAACAACTTATATCATATATGAAAACCGTTTGAGGTTATTTTATCTTTGTTTATATAGAAATAGGTTATACATAATATGATAAGTGTTTTTTCTATTAAAGTTTAATTAAGTTGTTTACCTAAACCTGGCCTAAATATTGATAACTATAATTTCAAAAAAATAGTTGATAACTATATCGGGATATAACTTTATCGACCAATTTGGGACTGTTTATTATTATGCATTTTTTACAAGGACTATGCCATGTGTTAGTAACTTGTTTTTTAAACAAAAATCGTGTATTATTGTAAGCAGTGTCATACTGTTTTTTAATTGGATTATTCATGAAATTTGTATCAAGTTTTTGCTCGTAGTCTTCCAAGAATGCACTGTCTTAACTCTTGACTGTCCTTGATGATGCAGGATACATCCGGGTGCTTTTGAACTGTCTTGCCTTCTCTTTATGTTTAACAAACAAAATCGTTTTCCCTATTCTCTACTTTTTCAGGTGGGATACAGTTTAATGATTTATTTTTTCTACTATTGAACTTTTGCGTCTTTCATAAACATGGCATGCGGGGATAATTTAGCTGAATTTGTGTTGTCAGTTTTGTATGTGATGCTGTGGATGGCTGGTGTGCTCGAAGATTCAATCAAGGTATAATTTTTTCAGATGTATGTCAGATCACTAACAGTTTTCTATTGAATATTGTAAGTAATGTCAATACTTGACTAAGAAATTTTGTACACAATTTATATATGTCAACTATGATACCATTACATCCACATATATCACTCTTAACATTCTTGCACAGAAGTTGGTCAATAATTAAGGAGTGACTACATTTTCTAACTCCTCATGGTTTACAGTGTTCTAAATATAGTCCATTTGTTTGATATTTTTACTCTCAGCTGCCACCTTATTATGGAATGTTTCATAATTATTGGAATGTAACACTTGAATATCAGTTTGAAACTGAGGGACTATTTAAGATGGATTTCTCTTAGATCTTTGTATGAGAAGTATATTCAGTCTAAATATGCGATCACATATACTTTTTCTGTTCTTGAGTGCCAGCTTCCATGTTTTTACTCCCATGACGGCATTCTGTTGATTCTTTGCATTTTACATTTTTCTATGAAACATTGAATAAGTTGTATTAAATTATAATAAACAAAAGAAGTAGTAGGAAGGCTTGATTATGCTAATGAAGGTTGGATTGTATAACTAAATATCATCAACATAAGGTCTTTGGCTCAAATCATGCTGCTGGTATTGCATTGACTTTCTATGTTTTAAGCACCATTATAAGGCAAACTTATAGCATACCCTGACCTGACCGTGCAATTTGAAAAGCTCCTGTCTCCATGTACTTATTATTTTTAATTTTTTAAATGTAGTTATTCCATATAATAAACCATTATATCAATCAAGCATTTATAGCTCCACGACCACACAATGGTTTATCACATCAAGTTGTTTTTTTAATAAGCCACTATACAGTGTAGCATTTTTTCGTTACTTAATTGTTATTTTTATTGATTCAGTGTCAACATTTGGAGCTGTGCTGGATATGGTAACAGACAGGTTATTATCGTTCTTGGTCCCCTCACTCTCAGTTATAGTACACATGCAAGCCAAACGAATACATTGAATAATACTGCTTTAAATTCTGTACATTGTTTGATTCCTGTGGGATTTGAATAAGTATGGTTTCTATAATTACAGGATTAGTACTGCTTGTCTTCTTGTAGTTCTGTCCCAATTATACAAGTAAGATATATCTCCTTTCGAGCTGTTCCTCAGTCACTATGATTTTAAGCCTGTTCACCTGACTTTTGGGCTGGATTTTTTGTAAAGGCCTGGCCTGATCTTCTTGTCATTGCTCGCCTTAGACATTGGCAGCCACTGGTTTCAAATGTACAGGTATTGTAAGCAAACTGTTCTTTTCCTCTTCTAACTCAAATTGTATGATTCTGCAGTTACTGGATTTGATCTTGATGAAACTATTGAGTTGATTTTTTATTTTAAATGCAGCACTTTCTTGGCTGGCAAGGCTAGCCATAAAGATGTAAAAGACAGCACCAACTGGCTTTTCAGGGCATATTATGGAAATAGGATGTTTATGGCTTACTGCTGTGTCTCATGTGAGGTAATTGTTATGCCTTCATCTTAATATTTTGTGAAAAAACCTTTGTTAATATTGTTTTTCTTAATGTCTTATCCTTTATACTCTACAGGTTCTTTATCTGATCTTGTTTTATCTTGCGGATAATCAAACAGAGACATTGGTGGATGTTAGTTTTTTCTCTGTGCTTCTGATGCTTTTTAGATGGGGTCTGCTTGTTATAGATTAAAATAAAAGTGATTTTGATATAAATAATTTCAATTTATTTATTTTTATAAAAAGCATAAATTGTTGTTTGTTTCAAAATGATTATCAACTTTGCTTGAGTACCTAAAATGTTATTTGATTTTGTATTTCTCTCTTATATTAAAAGTCAATTATGTGAAGAAAACTTGCACACAAACATAACTAAAATATCAATTATTTTTATATATAATCTTAAACAATCAGGCCCGTTATCTATGATATTTAGAGGGTTTCTTCTGATCATCATAGTTTCTTAATTGTTTCTATTTTCAGGTTTTATCAAGTAATTTACAAAAGATAACCTTAATCTCTTTCCTAATTGCCACAAGTTTATTTGGATGGGCAACCAAGCAAATTATAAACGTTATTCAGGTTCGTGCATGGTGTATTTATGCTGCATATTTAGATGATGAAAGTCTGTATATTTAGTTTTTTATCACCCCATCCTATAATGTGAAGAAAATTATAATCCGAACTCCAACAAAACAGGGTAGTACTAAATTGCTCATATTTTTAATATGGAATATCATCCTGTTAAGTGAAGAGGGGGAGTGTTGGTCCAATGATTGTAATTGCTTCCATGTGACTGGAGCTCGGGTTGATTAAAAAAATGATATCAGGCTGTCTACAATAGTCTCGAGTTTGACCCTTGCCTAAACTCTGCTGTAGAGCGCGTGTCACCACGATGCCCTTTATTCATTTTACAACTTTTCCCCTGCTTTTGCAATTCTCCATTGCCGGCTAAATTGTCAATTGTCAATTGTTAATTGTCTAGAAACAGGCCTACTGAAACCAAACATAATTTATTATCTTCATATTATAACTTTGGTAATTGACTTCCAAGGTTTCATTTGGAAGTTAGGAGGGGGGAGAGAGGGGAGAAGAGGATGTGAGAGGAGAGGAGAATCTCATGTTGTATGTGAGGGTATTAAGAGGGGAAGCATATGCCTAATTTTTTTCTTTACATTCTAGCCATATAAAGGAAGTCTTGAAATTGATTGATTTTTTATTTATTTAGCTACACCTACTTGGTATTTTGATTGAATGGTTGACTATTTGTTCATTGATTTATGTCCTGCATTTTAATCTGCTATAAGACTTGTTTGATTTCAGATGAAGACAGCAGCAGACATGTGTGTGCTTTATGATATCAACAAAAAACAGAAGCATTGATGTTTGTTCTATGTCCGCGAAGCCCTTTACCCCTTGTCCTTGCCTTTTGCCTTCTAGTATCATGTTTTGAGCTAAAAGTTTAATATTATTATACTAGATGGCAATTGAGCTTGAATTGTTCAGTTTTCAATTGTTTGTAATGAAAGAAATACTGAAAGGGAACGATGCTGAGTTAGAAAATCCAACCTTGCTTGTAGCATACAATTCAGTAGCACTAGGTTCGTTGCCTTTTTGTTCACTAATCACACTACTACAGATTTGTTCAGTTCTGAATTTCTAATCCATTGATTGAAGTTTGTCTATATTAATCTGCTCCAAGGAAAGTGTTCACACCGATTATGAATTGTGATTATTCTGTTTTGGGGTGTTGGAATTTACTGAATAAGCGTTCCTATATTTTGCACATGGCGAATGTTTTTGCAGTTTCATGTTGCAGGGTAAGACGTGGCTTGTAGGATTTAGTAAAACAACCGAATCTTTCATGTTTGTACATTTATTTTGCCACCCTCAAATTTAACGACACCTTTTCTATGATACCCCTATTATCATTGACAAAATTTTAGCAAAAAGTAGTACGCAAATTTGGCAGAATGAATAAAATTTTCGGTATAAATCAACAAATCTTGTAGTGTATTTAAAAAGTTAAGAATGCAGTTATACGATATATTCAAAAAAATTGGTGTGAAAAAATTTACTGATTTTTTAAAAAACACCATGTTGTATCGAATTTTTTGCAATACTTAGAAAAATTTGGTAGTTTAAAAGCATCGAATTTTTTAAAAATGTCCCGCACTTACTGGATTTTTAGAGGACATGTAAAAAAAATTGGTGGTGTAATTTCAAGGGTTGAGATTTTACTTGGTTGAGATTTTAGTTACAGTTTTGTACAATTGTGATTGCATTGACCATTTTGTGTGGTTCAAAATGAATTCAAACTTGTATAAAAAGGGGTCATGCATTGTTAATAAAAATATCTTACAACGCTTTACTATTTGTTTAAGGAAGAAGTGTACTTCAATAGGGTGAAACTTCTTGTTGATTTTGGATTTTCGAAGAACACCACATGTGCCGTTCTTTTGAGATTCAAATTGAATAATATGTTGTCGACATCGAGAACAAAAATGTGATTAAGATTTAGTTTTTTGCACCATGGATTGATACTGATGGGAGGATGAAATACAATCATATTGAGTTGAAGAGTGATGAATATTTGAAGGTTATGTAGAGAATATATCACTGAAGGCTAACTAAGAGACCGATTGACTTTGAGGCAAAAAAATTTAAATCTGGCGACGATATAATCAAGATGTTGAAACGTCCAAAATTATCTGGTAGTGTTTAAGTTTTGTCATTTATTATTGTTTTGTTCATGATGCTTTTCAAAAAAATATGAGGGAGGATGACCATCTTTAATTTCATGACTTTTTTTTGATACAGCTGAAAATAGCAATGTAACCTTTCTATTACAATAATCATATTTAAGAGTTTTGTATTTAGGGTATTGTGATCATGGCAAATTTTATCAAATTTCTTAACATTACTAGTTTATTCATAACCTAAGTCGACCTTTTTGTATGATGCTCTTTTATTTTCAAGAAGAAGATTCAAGTTGTCTCTTCCTTTAGTGATTCTTTCAAGTGTATTTGTAAGTTTTTATTTTCATTTTTCAAAACATCCCATAGATTACACTCGTTGGATTCAACTAAAACTTCATGAGACGGATAAGAGACTTGAGTTGAAACACTTTATCTTTCTCAAAGATTTTTTAGTTCTTCTATAAGATTTTGATTTTCAAGTTCGAGAAAGGATATGGTCTCTTATAGTTTGAGACAATTTGTTTCAACTTGCTTGTTTCTCTATTTAAATTCTTGCAAATCCTAAATTAATTAATGATAAGAAAAGTGAGAAGTTATCTCATTTTTTTTAGGTTTACCATGAGACGTATATTGTTTTCTTCGTCTAAGAAATCCAAATCATTTTCGTCCCAGGCGTTGTAAGCTTTTCTTTCTTCCTTCAGAGATTTCTTTTCTTTTTTCTGATTTTAACCTTCCTTTGAGTTCGGGGGCATTTTGGTCTTATATGCCCTTTCTTCTCACATTAAAAGAATATGAGAGTGAATGCAAATTTTCCTTCCCTTCTAATTTGCCCTTCTTGTTGTATTTCACACTTCATGTATTTCTCGAAGTTCCTAACCATAAGCGACATTTCTTCATTGGTTTCAGAGTCTTTATCTTCTTCAACTTTGAAAGTTAGACTCTTTTTCTTCTTGTCTCCTTCTTCATCATCAACGAGTCTTTTTTAACTCCATCTCATATTTATACAATTTACCAAATAGAGTTGCCATGTCCATGGTTAGACCTCAAAAGATTTACCTCAATAGTACCTTCATGGGTAACTTGGAGGGTATCCCACATTTCTTTTGCAATTTTGCATTGAGAAATGTCCAAGAACTCATGAACACCGAGAGAACTAGTGATGATTTTTTTTTTTAAAATTTCAAACCATGTTTCCCTTTTCTTTCTCATATTTGGTCAAATTATCTTCATTTTCTTTGTTAACCAAAACACCATTAACTTCATGTGTGGAAAAAATGACATTCTTTCACAGCCTTTCAAATGCCATGATCCATCCTCTCAATGAAGATTCTCATCTTCTCTTTCCAAAATCCATAACCTTCTCCATTAAAGGATGATGGTTTGTTTAGTTAACCGTCTGAAGTCATTTCATTCCTCATGTGACGTTAAGTGTTTAACATGAGTTAGGCTCTAATGGCACTTATTGAATTTGTGACTCCAAGAACAAGAGAGGGAGATGTGGGTTATGATATTCAAAATTCGTGATTACTTTAAGATTAATTACAAAAAATAGTAGTTTGTGTTAGTATAGTTAAAAATAGAGATAACAACGGAAAATGGAAAGATATAAATTCAAGGGAAGGTAAATAACTAAAAGTAATAAAGAAAGATAAGAGAGGTTTTGTCAGCTTCTATAAAGGTTCGCTCGATCTCTTGTCCTACTCCTTTCCTCAAGAAACAAACTTCTCGAGAGTTCCAATAATAAAACCTTTTGAGATTTTGCTAGTTTATGCCCATGAACCTTCTTACAATCGATTGAGATGATGATAACCCCTCAAACTAAAATGGAGCTTTTCAAAGGCTAAGGTCACAAACCAAGAATGAGATTTTGATCGTCTAATCGCGGAAACTAAACAGAGGTTTTGATAGGATAACCTCAACAACCAAACATGAGAGACTTCAAGAGAATCACACTCTTGATAAAATTGCTGAAAACCAATACAATTAAAACCTCACAAATAATTTCAATCTTGACTTCAGGAATGTTTTCTACACTTAGGATCTGATGAGCGTACCTTTTTATAGCGAATCTAGTTTCCCTGCCTCCGACGAACCCTCTTGTTATAGTGTTAAGTGTGAGATGTGTGGATTTGTTGTCCTTGCCCTAGTGCGACTCTTTGTCTCTGTTAGGCCTGAGACTCCCAACATCTTCTTGTCTATGTGAGAGATATTTCCTGACAAACAGGAAAAATCGCCCTTCACATATTTCTTGAGGTTCCCCCATTATCAATTTTTATATTTCCTTCTTAAGCTGGTAGAAGCTCTTATTGTGATGTCCCTTTATCTTGTGGAACTTTCACCATATCCCTGGTTCAAAACCCATCACGTCCTCCTTAGGAGAAGACAATGTAGGTATGTTATGTAAGTGGAGTACCTCGCACCAATTTTTCTCACGACGGGTGTTCATAAGTGTGAAGTTCTTCGTTGCCTTCCCTATCCTTTTGAACTCAGACTTGTCTTTTATGGGCGAGGTATACTTTCTATTTCTATGATGATGATAGGTTTTGGCGCTAGGAACACACTCATTGACGTCACATGCCTTCTTTTCAGTATTACTTTCCTCTCTCTTTATGTAGCACTCAACTCTAGTGACCACTTCTAACAACGACAATGATGGCTTTTGGGCGAGGGATTTGCTGAAGTGTCCCTCTTTAAATCCATTTTGGAATTCCACCAAAAATATTTCTTGGTTTAGCCGAATGAACCTGATGGTGGTCTCATTGAAGTGGGCGAGATAGTCTCTCAACGACACTGATGGACCATGACGTATATTAAATAGATTGATGGTAGACAACTTCTTGTGGCGGTTGGCGGGAAACCGATGTACTAGCTTCTTTACCAGTTCCTGATAAATGTTGATAGAGGTACGTGGTAAACTCCTTTTACCATCTAGGCGCAACCTCTCTAAAAGTGCTAAAAAATAGCTTTTACTTCAAAGAGTTAGGGGCTTCTGTGATGGCCATCTGTGTATTGATGGACGCAATATGTTCGTAAAGATCACCGCATCCATCAAACTTGGCCAAGGAAGAAGGTTTAAAACTGAAATTCTGGTATTCAGATCAAACATCTCATAAAAGATATCGAGACACCTTCTACTAAACTTGCACACAATAAACAATATGAATGATAAACATAATGCAGAAAAGTAAAGAACACACAAAATTGTTAACCCAATTCGGTGACTCACACCTACTATGGGGGCTACCAAGCCAGGGACCAATTTAATTTGATAGTATCAACTCGTAGACCCACATAAAACTTTCACCTAATTTACAATCTACTTACTTAATCACTACCCGTCCTTAACTTCTACATAAGACTCACTTAAGTATGAGACCCTTCTCAAATCTCTTCCAATCACAGTCACAAGGATAAACCAATTCTAAACATGTAAAACAAACACTGAAGTCACACAATCATTCTCTGCTTCAAAGCTTTGGAATGATTGACAAAACTTACAACTCAATAAAACAGTCCTACTCTTTTATCAACATGATAATCGAGAGGCTCACAATAAGCACACAAACCATAATAAAAAATACAATGTAAGTTCCACACTAAACTAGGTTAGTTACATTATATTTAAAGCCATCCTCTGGAATGGATTACGCTTTTCTATCGCAGCTAATCAGCTGCTAAATCTCAGCAGAATCTTCTGCACATATTAGGGATTCAATCATTAGTTTCCTAAATTTTCTCTTAATTTAGAAACTAATAATATTCCTTGTATCCAGCTAGAATATTTTTCAATATTCAGCTTGCACGTCACATGGGATAATGAAATATATCTAGAATATTCTACACATGTAACAACTAAAAATAACTAACATTCTAGTTGTACAAAAATACAATGTCCTATGCTTTTGGTTGGGACATCTTATTCGACATATTACGTCACTTGATAGAATATCTTCATTCAACATGT